GGGTAAGTGAAACTTAGCAAGTTTATTTTCTTTCGATCATTTTAATTTTGCAAAGACAGCAAGTTAGTTAGTTATACATTTTTTGATCAGGTTACGAACTACTTCCTTGAACGTTTGAATCAATGTTTCAAGAGTTACGGGCGAAGAATGAGGAATGATATGATTACATCAGCCTCATCGATAGAGAAATATAGACGAACGCATATGATGGTGGATATCGATATGGACACATGACGACCAACTTGGCAGAGGCAATCAATTCAACCTTAAAGGGTGCACGTCACTTACCAGTAGCAGCTTTGGTAAAGACTATATATTTTCGTTTGGGGGCACTTTTAGCGAAGCTCGGGGGACAAGCTCAAACCTGGATGCAAGGCGGTCATATCTATCACCCTAGATTAGTTACAGATATACATAAAAAAAAATTGATGCATCAAATGGAATGTCTGTAACAAGCTTCTCTAGAAGGCATGAAATATTTCGTGTCACAGAGTTGCCGCGACCTCTTCAAGGGATTGAAGTTGTGTCGTTAAGAGTAAATCTAAGGGACAGAACCGGGTTTTTTCAAGCTCTGAAGTATCCATGCTCTCATGTGATAGCAGCTTGCTCGCATACATGTCAAGACTATAACCATTTTGTGGATCCCGTATACCTATTATCTGAAGTTTTTAAGGTATACGAATTTGAGTTTCCCCCATAGGTAATGATAAAGACCCTGATGAGGTTCAAGATTGGCTTTCGATTGTACCAAAACCGAGTTTATTGAGGGAGCGTGGTCGTCCAAATCCAATCGAATTCATTGCGATATGTATATTAGAGAAAGATCTAGACAAGACAGAAGATGTGTGCATTGTAGAAACCCAGGACACACTAGAAAAACATGTCCACTTCTGTTGTCATCAAGTAACAACTGATGAGGAAATGATGTATTTTATTATCAAATAATAATTCTTGTACTTTAATTTGCATTTACTTCAAGTTAATGTCATTTGATAATCACCGATGAAGATTAAAAAAACAAACACAATCATTAAATTTTAACAAACTAATAACAATAAGTATTAAATGGTAAATGATAACCAAATTACAATAACTGATATTAAATGGTAATAAACAAAACGAACTGAAATACATTAAAAAAGTCTAACAAATTTAACAAAATAAAGTAAGTATTAAATGAGAAATAATAAAAAAATTACAATTTAACAAAATAAAGTAAATACAAATATAATAAAAAACAAAAACTATCGATGCCTGCGGTGCGAATGTGTTCCGCAGGGCGGTGGCTGTCGGTCTCGAGGAGGATTTCTTCGTATCATTGGTTCTGACTCCTCGCTATCATCATCATCACCATCGTCTTCGTCATCGTCGTCGTCGTCTTGCGCAGGTACATTAGGTTGATGATGAGCTGATGACGATGAAGCACCTCCGTAGAATAAGAACCCTGAAGGTGTATGACTGACTATCCCACCGGCCTGCGAAAACTAGGAAAACTCATAAAACCCAGAGATCGCTGAGTGTGAAAACTGTACAGGAGGCGGTGTCTGTGCTGCGGCCATGGGTGATGAGGCTAAACCCGCCAAATATCCAGCATATGAACCTCATGTCGGATCTGCAAACATAGACCCATAATAGCCTCCAGGAGGGGTCATCTGTGACGGTGGCGGTGGCGGGGTCATAAAACAAGGTGAAGGCGGCGGCGGTGGCATCTGGTAATGGAAAGGCGATGGCGGCATCATATATAGTTACGGCATCATATATGGCTGCGGTGGCTGCTGGGAAGGTCCTGTTTGTGCAGTTGAGGATGAACCGGAAGCACCTGTTCTCCGTCCACGAGTCGGGGGACGATGGTGCTGTGTCGGTGAACGTCTCTATCGATGTCGTAGAAATGTCTGCCCTCGTGCATCCTCGGGAAGTAGAAACGGTTTCCCGTTACTGTTGAACCACTCATAATAATCCTCATCATACATCAAGAAGTTAGTAAAAATAGGCTCTCTACGTGGAAGGCGCCGATGTCGATCCTCCCACAACACGATCCACCCATGATGCCTCACCATTCAATCTGTATCTGTCTTACCGCGTCTATCTAAGCTATGCAACTCGTCCATATTGCGAGGTGCTTTCGGAATTGGTTGAAAACAACCAAACTACCGAAGCACGCGATCAGTGGAGTGCCACTCGACGGTCGCATAACAGATCAGAGGGACCATCGCCATCCAAACATCTAATAGACCCCTCAACTCAGGTGGGATCACCGCCCTCACATCATCAGTAGAATATGGCACCCATTCAAACTAAAACAAATAATATATAATTTTTATCAAAATAATAATCTAATTATATAACTATAATCTAAAATCGATTTTTTAAACATTAAAATTCATACATGTGTGCCAACCTTCTGATCGATTAGAACCCTAATCTTTTCTAAATCATCAGGTAGCTCCTGATGATTTTTCCTATCAGTAGACCACCTATTCAAGGACAAAAATTTGTTATATGCTGTATAAAATTATTAATATACAAAAAACAGTTTTATAATTACCTCAGAAGTAGTGGAAATACGAATGGGTTCTTCACAACGGATAAAAAGGGTAATCGATACCATGCCCAAGACTGCAGCAGCAGGAGACATCCGCCGATAGCATTACGCCTGTAGTCAGTGGCTCTATACATCTCCCTGTACAGCAAAGCCAAAACTGCCGAGCCCCAACTGAATGATCCGGCGAGACAAAAGTCGCTAAGATGTCGCAACCACATGCAGTGAACTAGGTTGCGCGATTTGTCCGGCATCAGCAACCCTCCTATCAGCTGCAGTATGCATGCCCATGCATACATCTTAACCTCATCCTCAGAGGCGTCTGCGCTCAACTCCCGAAAATTGGCATCTAACCAATTTAACGGTATCCTACCTCCGATAAAATTTTTCGGGACACGTCCTAGACTATCCCGACACAAAGTAGTCCAAGAACCGGAAGCTATCCCCGATATCACATCTCCATCCACCGGAAGCCCCAGGTGCATAGAAACATCCTCAAGCGTGATCGTGCACTCTCCGCATGGAAGATGGAATGTGTGGGTCTCCGGCCTCCACCGCTCTACTAAGGCAGAAATCAGGTCTGGCTCTATCATACAATGACCCTAATATCTACCTATGTAACCGAATCCAACCTCTACTAAATACGACAAGACACGGCTGGGTATCACTAACTTAAGATTTCTAATAAAAGGATCTAACACACGGTCCTTCTCCTAAAAATAAATAATTACAAAAATTAATTCTTAATCTAATAATCATGCATTAAATGCATCAACTAATTATTACTAATAATTTAAATTAAATTAAAACGTTAAAATGTTATTGTATCAGCAAAGTGTAGAGATATATGATTTCCATCCGAGCGAAGTAGATTGCCTTCCATTATATATCTGCAAAAGAATTATATTAGTAAAATATTAAATAAAGTAAAAATATAATAGTAAAAAATATTATAAAATATACCTTAAAAAGAGAGTATTTGAGAGAAATTTAGAGAATTTGAGAGAATTTGGTGTGATAAAAGTGATTGAGGATGGGGGTATTTATAGGGAGGATGGGGACGGGTAATTAGGGGTATAGCGCGCCCCCTGCACCGCGCTATACCCCACGTGTCAGATATCCAGGTATAGCGCGGTGCAGGGGGCGCACTATACCCCACGTGGCGCCAAATCATCGTATAGCACGGTGCAGGGGGTGCGCTTTACTTCTAAGGGTGTTAGATCGGGAAATATAATTTGACCGGTGTTAGATCGGGAAATATAATGTTTACCGGTGATATATCGGGAAAATCACCCATTTTCAAATTCATCCCCACACCCACTAGCGACATACCCATCTAGACCCGCCTGACAGCAAACTAATGGGATGTTGGAGTTGGTTCCCAGACAGTTCGTGATGGGGTAGCAGCGCATGCTTCAATTTGTCAGAGGAGTAGCTCTACGAATGTTATGGAAATAGATTGTAGGGAGCATGTAGTCACAGAGCTAGATTGTTGTGTTGCTTTCGATGTTAATGCTCATAGTGCGCCTAATATGGGTTTTGAGGGGCTAAAGAACATGGAAACTGCTGCTTTTGATGTTAATGCTTATAGTACGGCTAATTTGTGTTTGGATGGGCAGCATGGGCTAAAGAACATGGAAAGTGACGTGGTTAGTGGGATTATGGGTTTAATCAAAGAGCCGAATATTTCCCTAATTAAAGACCAGATTAAAGACTAAATATCCTTAATATTTGGATAAATTATATGTTATATATTATACAATATTAAAATTTATAAATTAGTCTCTAAAATTACACCTAAATTCATAATGGTCCAAAATTTAATAGATATTTAACGGGGCGGGCGGATGCGGGTAATGTCTCAAAACCATTACCCGCCCACCACCCATGACGGGTACCACTTTATAAATCCACACCCGTCCACTACCCGCTAAAATTATACCCATCCCCGCTCCAATTGGAGCGGATGCGGAATCCACGAAACTGTACTCGTTTTCCATCCCTAATGCTTACCAGTGGTAATATATGTTTTATAGACTTAAATAATCATCATTCAAATTATTATTTAATAGTAATAATTAAATAATCAATAATTAAATAATAAAATCAGATACGAAATTAATTTTAATTATAATTTAATTTAAACTATTATTTTTGTCAACATCGATCGTTAAAACTTGGTGGTTTCAAATTCAAGCCAAAATTTTCTAATCTTATTGGCTTGTTGCTAATGGTTAAACAAAAGAAACAATTACTACCCTTCCAAATAAATGAAAACAAATATATATATATATATATATATATATATATATATATATATATTTTAGTTAATTAACGTTGATTTTCTATGTTTCTAGCGTATGTTTTTGCATGAATTGCAAGAATAATAATACCGCCTGCCGCCTCTTATTTATATAGTGTAGATACACTAACAATTTGGTACACAGAAACAGGGTTTAGCATGGAGCTTGACGTCGAAGTGGTCTCCCATGAGATTGTGACGCCATCGTCCCCGACGGCAGACGGACTTCGCCGCTACCAACTATCGTTCCTTGATCAACTAAACCCCTTGCTCTATAACTCTCTGGTCTATTTTTATCCGAAAATATGTGACACCGACGCCGATAAAATCACGATTTCCGATCGGTTAAAGCGATCCATTTCCAGTGCTTTGACGTATTTCTACCCGTTGGGTGGTCGGATGACGGAGGACCAACTGTTCGTTGATTGTAATGATGAAGGGATACCCTTTGTGGAAGCTCGAGTGAACTGCAAACTTTCCGAAGTTTTGAACAAGCCAGTCCCGAAGGAGCTCAACAAGTTGCTTCCTTTCGAAATCCATGGAGACCATAAAATTCTCCTCGGAATCAAACTCAACGTTTTCGACGGCGGCGGGATAGGGATCGGGGTGTGTGTTTCCCACAAAATCGGAGACGCCCTTTCGTTCTTCTCGTTTGTGAAAACATGGGCAGCCATTGCTCGTGGGGAGACGATGTTGATCGGCCCGGAATTCAAATCAGCCTCTCTTTTTCCACCACGGGATCTCAAGGGATTCACACCAAGAATCAGTCAGTTGAAGATCGAACAACTTGTAACGAAGAGGTTCGTGTTTAGTACCACCAAAGTGGAGGAGATCAGAAGAAAATATTCCGAGAAAAATACCCAAACACGCCCGACTCGCGTCGAGGCCTTATCGGCGTTCATCTGGGACCGGTTGACTACTTCCATTAACGTAAGATCGAAACCCAACACGCTGTTCATGATTAATCACATGGTGAACATACGTCCAAGAATCGAACCCCCTTTGCCGGAGTATTCAATCGGAAACTTTTTTAGCTTTTCACTGACGATCCCATCAATGGAGGACGGTAACCTCGTTTCCCAGATGAGAGACTCCATAAAAGCAGTGAACAATGAGTACGTGAAGAAGCTCCGAGATGGATATAATCACTTGGACTGCTTTAAAGAGAAGACAGCGAGTTATGGAAAATGCGAGATCGTTGCGTTTACTTTCACGAGTTTATGCAGGTTTCCTCTATACGAAGCTGATTTCGGTTGGGGGAAACCCATTTGGGCAGGCTCCAGTGATCGGGAAATCAATAACGTGGCTACTTTCATGGACACCATAACCGGTGATGGGATCGAGTCTTGGATTACCCTAAAAGAGGAAGAAATGGAGAAATTCGATTCGGATGAGGAATTGCTTGCATATGTTGATGCTCCAAAAAGCTTGTAAGGATTATTTACTTGTTGTATGTGTTTCTTGTCTGCTTTAAATATTGTGTACACAGTTCTCTGTGTTTGTTGAAAGGGGTGTTTATAATTCCGTTTAAACTGGATTAATCGAACTAATCAAAATTTTAGTCGGTTAATCATTGATTATTTTTGGATTTAGTCGGTTAATTGTTAATGATGTTTTCAAACTTCAATTATCGATTAATTCATTTTAAAATCGCTTAATTAATCTAATTAAACTAAATTATTAAATATTTGATATATTTTATATTATTTAGCTTCAAGGGTGTTTAAATTTTGGTTTTAACCGAATAAACAAAAATATTAATATTTAATATATGATATATATTATTTATAAATTTCAGTTAATTTGGTTAACCGACCAATTAATCGAACTTACTTCGGTTCAGTTAATTTTTTTTGAAAAAATTTCAATTCGATTAACTATTAACTAAAAAAAATTCAGTTAATGAATTTTGGATAATTCAATTGAACAAAATTAATCGATTGAACATCTCTATTTATTGAAGCACTGGGGTTTTAAGAGTAATCCAGCTCAATTCCAATAAATCCAAATAAATATTCTCTAATTATAAACATGTAATCAAGCCTAGAATGTACATATCATAAACTATAAACAAATCAAAACATTAGTAAATATTAAGATTTGAACATGACCCTAAGTGAATATTTTTAATTTTACAAATTACCTGAATGATAAAGAGAACTTTTAATTAATGTTGTAGCATTCACTCTATTTAAAAAATAATCTTTCCATCATCTCCTACGAAGAAATTGATTTTTAGTAGGTTGTCACGAAATATCATCTTAGAATGTTAGATTATTAAAAGTTTAAAATGAACAAATTGTCAAGTTTATGGATGATTTTTTTTTGTAAAAGGGTACTTTGTATTAGATAATACAAAGTACACCACCTCATGGACCTCATTAAAAAACCTCCCTAACCTTAAATGGAGGAAAAAAAGTGAACCAAGAGGTGGAAAAGAATAAAATCATGTATATCACAAAGCAACAAACCATTCAAACCCAAACCGCACCAAAACTCACACAAACGCCCATAACTACTTAACATGTTACATAAGACCTTGACAATCAACAACACTCAACCCAACACACAATAACCAACAATAACATCCTAAAGACCCTTTTGAAGTAAAATCAGTGGATAATCTCAAAGAACACAACCCTAAACTTCACACAATCCCAGACAATCATGCACCAACCTCAAAAACAAATCTCGTGCAACCCCAAATTGACCGTGTCACTCCTTATTAACTAACACAACCCACCTTTTTTAATTATCAGAATTAGATAATGAACTATCAGATAATTCAGAGGGATTTTTTTCAAAAAAAAAAAATTCAAGGACTACAAATTTATTTATACGTAAGAAAACTTGAAATCTAGATATATAAAATTTGAAAATATTATTGGTAAATGGCAATTATTAGTTGGTTTAACAAGATTAAAGGTTTGAGTAATGTGAATCAAATTAAAATGGTTGCTCTAATAACGAGTAATAATCCATAAATAAAAAAATTCGGGGAATTTTTGCATTACACTACACGTGTCTGTATGTCTGATCATTCATTTCTTCGTGTTAGAAGTCATTTGGTCTGCTAAAACAGGTGCCAAATTTCACCGATCTCCTGTTTCCGTCTCCTCCAAAAATAATAAAAATTAAAAGGAAAATAAATTCACTTCCTTTTCTCCACCTCAGCTCCGTCTTCCTTCTCGCGTTTTCTTGCCTTCCATAGAAAATAAAAACCTCTTCTCGTTGCTTGTTTGATCGGGTTTCCAAGTTTCTAAATTTGGGTCGAAATTCGAAGAGATTTTTGAAGAAGCGGAAGTTTCTTTGATCCATTTGATTCGTCGTGAACCCTGATTTAGACACATCCACTAGAAGATAAATGTGCATTCCCTCATGAACTGAAGACATGTCTATCAAGAAATAGTTTCTACCCTAATAGAGGCATCTAAGAAATGAGGATTGCTATAGGTTGCTTTATGTATGTTTTTCTTTTCTGCGCAATCAACCTAAGTGTAAGTCCAATGCATTTATGGAACTAATCAAAGTTACTGTTAGCTTTCTTAAATTATTGTTTACCTTCTATTTGGCTAAGGTGCTTTGTTGCCTAACTCTAAATCAACATCCGATATTGCATTTGAATGCAATGACATACATAGATTTTATTTTTATATATATGTGTGTGTGTTGAGTTCTTTGTTCAGATTGTTGGAGGCTACAAATAAAACCTTGATGTCTCATTTCCAAAATCTCGTGTTGCATGTATTTCCGAGATAATATCATGTTTTCTTGTGGATGGTGAGTGCTGAAGTTGGTGGGAAGCTCAGAGTTTTCCAACTCGACAACGAAGCACTCATCGACTTGACACGGTAGATCGAGGAAATACTTTTGGTCTCTGATGCAGGTTGGATTTGATCGTGATCGGTTTTCTTGCTGTATGGCGCTTTGCACGGCAGGCCCTGGTTTTTCTGCAAGCAGCGGTATACCATATCCGATCTCTTGAATCTCAACTTGCTTCCATAATAATTGGAATGTTTTCTTTTAACTTCCATGCTTGGGATTGGAATTAGCAACGGTGCAACTTGTTTCCTATTTGGTACTTGATTCGTAGTTGCTCTTCCATTGGATTGTATTAGACATCTGAGAATATATACTGCTGCTGTACATTTAAGAAAAGTTGAATGGATTTTATGAAATAAAGCCTTTACTTCCTCATCTAAGCGTAAATATAATTTTTGGTATCAAATTTCAGTATTTATGTATAACTAGACATCTCACGTTCTTCCTTTCATGCAATTAGCCACCTAAGATTTTGTTTTTAATTACACGTGCTCAATTTGATTTGTTCATACTTAAAATTATAACATGATTTAGCTAAAGAGAGAATATAAGTTATAAATTCAAAAGTTAACCATTAAAATTCTAAATATAAATAGTATTATATACCTAATTTTAACATATAAAAGTTAGATATCATGTTACACGTAAATACTAAAATTAAATGAAAAAACGACATTTACCTAAAATCTCGAAATCTTAAAGATATTAAGATGGTCAATATGTACTCATTATTTCTCTTATTACAAAGTGGAATTGTATCTCTTCAGTATTCTTTCTACTCTTATTATCATTAAGATGTACGACAATAAATTAACGCAACAAATCTCAAAATAACCTAAATCGATATATCTATAGTTTTTATTATTAGTCATTTATTAATCCGTTAATCTGAATTGACACGAAAAATATCAACTATATAAAAAATTATCCGTCTCTCTTAAAAAGAGAGAGAGTGCTCTCCCATCTCTCTATTCTTTCTCATACTTAAATCACCGAACATGGACACATACTTTAACCCTACCTTCGACAATAGTGAACAACAAATTTTCATTAAAAAAAATTTGCTATATATATATATGATCAAGGACGGATGTTAGATTTTATGTTGGGAGCGAATTTGAACTTATAAAATTTTATAGACGAAAATATATTTTCAATTGAAAATATATAAAAAAAAATCTAAAATAATTTTAAATTTTGAGGGACGACTACCCCACCTCCCAGGTCCATCCCCGTATACGATCACAGGAACCACTTTTCTTCAATATTGCGCTGCAAAACTCATGGATTTAGCTTATTCCAAACCTTTAGCTTTATTATTTTTCTCAATTGCGTTTAGATTTATCTTCAAACGGTTAGGAATTCATTTTCTTACTAATCCAAAGTTATTATCCGAAACATATGGATGCATGTCTTGTTTTCCAGCATGTTTATATTCCTTGGGGAACATGAGATATTAATCATGAACATACATAAATTTCTTCAAATGGGAATATACGTAGAAAACCATAATACAAAGAACAGTAAATGGATAAGAATCTTTATAGGGTTATGATCAGGATCCATCCATGGGAAGGTTTAATCTCATTCTTCTTGTTTACTTGTCATTCTCCTTTTGCTTACCTTTCTTCCTCAACTCTTTAATCCATTTGAAACTCAGAAACGACTTGCTAACCTTGACCTTGCCGGAACCTTCCTTCTTCTTCTTCTTCTTGTCGTCGGAAGCTTCCGTTCCGGGGTCTGGGTTTGGATCCCATTGATCAGCCCACGATAACCCTGAATCCATTTTCTTCTTCCCCGTCGAATCTCTTGTTAAGTGCTTCTCTTTATATATCAGATTTTGGTTTGACCGGAGAAGACAAGCTCGGCAAAAACTTGGTTATTTTGTGGGTGACCAGCATTGATCTTCGTTCGACCTTTTCTTTTTAGGTTATTTTTGGAGTTCAACGTTTGTTGTGTGTGTTTTTCTTGCATGATATCTATGTTGTCTATGGCTTAAACAAAATGCTAGGTTTAGCCATTACATTAATGTTATTTGTTGTAACATATTTAGTTAAGTTTAATGGACCCGACTCAACACGACATCTATAGTTCTAGTGAATTATATCTATTAATTTTAAAATAACTACCCACTTATTATTTTTACATAGGAAAGAGGTAAAGATTCACGTTGGAAAAAAGATGAAATTGAAAAATATTATTAATTGAGACCAAAGATGATGTGATGAGCCGAGTCCATCTAATAAATTTTAAGTTTAATGGGTTTATATAGGTTATTTGTTGTAGGTGATTTAAAAATATTTAAATTCAAGAGATTAATTATGGATGGTTATGTTGCGCAACAATTAATTTAAAGTTAATTCAATATGATTTTTAACTTAAAATGTTATTATGTTCCTCTAAAATATTATACACATATAAACATTTTCATATACAATTAAAAATATTACATTATGTTAGCTTTAGGGTTTACATTAGAATAAATTTTACAAATAACCAAAATAAAAATAATTTAATTTGTTTATATACTTATTGTTGAATGATGATATACTCTCGATTTTTTGTGCTTGTATGGTGATCTTTTATGGTGTTAATAATTTTGATTAAAGCATATTGCTGAAAACAGTGGAAAATATTAAATTACATTAAATTGAAGAATATAGTTTTAAAATTATAAATCAATTTGTATCGTACTCAATTCAAATTAATTATTTATATTGTTTATTTGAATTAATTAAAATTAGTAGTTACACATATTCTCAATTTCATTAGGTAAATAATAATTTAATTAAAAAATATAGAGAGAAATATTATAACAATTATCTCTAAATATATAAATGACATTTATATTATTATTCTCGAATGGATCAAATTGATTACTTTTACTCTAAAGTTGAATTTGACCCAAATTTTAAAAAAAATTGAATCTATAAAATCAAATTGAATATAACTTATCAAATTAATGAAATATATATATACTGGTAAATGTGATAAAAAAATAAAACAATAATTAAATATTAGATATGATTTTGAAAAAATTGAAAGTTTAGTTATTAAATCAGAATAAATATTAGGTACTAAATGTACAGTTTACCCTTATTTTTAATATTATAAATTTACAAAAAAAAACATCACAAACTCTCTTAAGACATTTCGACCGTCAGATCACTTACCACCGCATATCGACCAATAATCTTGATCTTCCATCACCAACTTTATTGAAGACACTGTAGACAATTACTCCCCATCTTGAAATTCCTCTGTTTACCTCTGAATTGTTCCTGGTTTTTTCACAACAACAACAACAAAATCAAATTCCCATATGTATGGGGTAAGGGGGAGGTAGGGTAGTAGGCTGCCCTCAACGTCAGGTTGGGAGTAGCTTCCGTGAAAGACCTCCGACAGTCAGAAAATTAAAAATATAGATAAAATGCAATGCATGTATAAATAAATACATAGCTAAACAGTATTCATATGCAGTCATTAAAATTATATGTGCGTTTGTAATGGGAATTAATCCCTGTAAAATAATCCCTGCGAAAGAATCTCTGCATATAGACAGAACCATAAGACCCAGCTAAATTTAAAAGAGGAAACATGAAGAGAATGATAAACAAACGTCAACGATATCAAGTCCAGTTCCTGGTTTTTTCAGTTGAGTCGAATCGCGAAGCATCAAGGATCATTGGCGGCATTTTACGCTATGGTACGCCATACTTCCAAACTCTTATTCCTTTCGTTTTTTCACTCGCGTTGGGTTTCTCGTCGATTCATCTAACTGTTTGATCGTAAAATGTTGTTTGTTTCTCGTTTATTCCTAGATCCAATCGATTGCTTTTTTTTTCTTATTTATATTCTGTTTTGATGCGGTTAACCTAGTGGCAAATGAGCGCACAGGAGAGAAGATTTTAGTTTTCATTTGCTAGAAACTAAGTTTTAGGGTTATGGAATTATTTTTAATTATTGTGTGTTTTAGTTCTGATTGTTCATTTGCATATCTCAGTGGAAGGAAGTTGAGGTGATTATCGAGGAGTTAGGAATTTTTTTAGTTGCTTAAAAAATTGGATGCGACTCATATTTTGCAATCCAGGAAGTAGTTTCTAAATTTATTTCTCGGGGAAATGGTTTAGTTACATTCATAGAGAAGTCGACTTAAGTTTTGACGGACTGATTAATTTGTATAATCGAAGTTGATGGATCTTTTGTTATTTTTGTTTCTTTATTTTTGTTGCTGCTGGCTGCACTGAGTGTATTATTGGCTTCCAGTTGTCTCTTCAGTGCTCCCCTTGGACTATTTGATAGGCTTTTCCTATGTCAGTTGCTTCATTCTAACATGTTTGCTACTTCATATTTGTTATTTTCTTCTTTAGTGTGTTGTATTTGTTAGATTTATTTCTGATAATTAGATCATTTCATGGAAGCTGAGAAATTGATTAGTTATGTCCCAATGTCTTTTTGGGGGTGGGGGTGGATGCAGTGGCGGATCTAGAAATTTAAAAATGGGGTGTGAAATTTTAATTTTCTTTTCTTAAAAATAATGGGTATGCAAAAATTGTAATTTTTTTTCTTTTTTCCTTAACACATTAAGCTAAATTTAACCAATTTTCCAAAATAATAGAGATGCACTTGGCCCCTATGGGGCTTAGTGCATCCGCCACTGGGTGGATGTTCAATGAAAAAGGAAGGATAAAGAGGTTACTAACGGTTGTTATTTCTTTGCGTAGGCACCCATTAAGGTCATTCTTTCCTTGCAAAGGGCTGCATTGTTCAGAGCTGGCAGTGAGAGGTGGAAAATAGGCATTAGATCGTTTAGTACTCAAGGAGAAACGACTGCTGGTGCTCCACAGCCACCTCCTTCGCCTCCGCCACCTGAGAAAACCCATTTTGGTGGTCTAAAAGATGAAGACCGTATTTTCACCAACTTATATGGGTTGCGCGACCCTTTTCTCAAAGGTGCCATAAAACGTGGTGACTGGCATAGAACCAAGGATTTAGTACTCAAGGGTGCGGATTGGATTGTCAATGAAATGAAGAAATCTGGACTCAGGGGACGTGGTGGTGCCGGTTTTCCATCGGGCCTAAAATGGTCTTTTATGCCAAAAGTATCTGATGGCCGCCCTTCTTATCTTGTTGTCAATGCTGATGAAAGTGAACCTGGAACCTGTAAGGATAGGGAAATCATGCGCCACGATCCTCACAAACTATTGGTGGGATGCTTGATTGCTGGGGTTGGGATGAGAGCTACGGCTGCTTACATCTACATCAGGGGTGAATATGTGAATGAACGTAAGAACCTTGAAAGAGCTAGAAAAGAAGCTTACGAAGCTGGACTGTTGGGGAAAAATGCATGCGGTTCTGGTTATGATTTTGATGTTCACATCCATTATGGTGCTGGTGCTTATATTTGTGGTGAAGAAACAGCACTTCTAGAGAGCCTTGAAGGAAAACAAGGGAAACCTAGATTGAAGCCTCCTTTCCCTGCTAATGCAGGGTTATATGGCTGTCCAACCACTGTCACAAATGTGGAGACAGTGGCTGTTTCTCCCACAATATTGAGACGTGGTCCTGAGTGGTTTGCCAGTTTTGGGAGGAAGAATAATTCTGGGACAAAATTGTTTTGTGTCTCAGGTCATGTCACCAAGCCTTGCACAGTTGAGGAAGAGATGAGTATCCCACTTAAGGAGTTGATAGAGAGGCACTGTGGAGGTGTCAGAGGTGGATGGAACAATTTACTTGCAATAATACCAGGAGGTTCTTCTGTTCCACTTTTACCCAAACACATATGTGATGATGTCCTGATGGATTACGATGCACTCAAGGCTGTCCAGTCAGGGCTGGGAACTGCTGCTGTAATTGTGATGGATAAATCGACCGATGTAGTAGATGCAATTGCAAGGCTTTCTTACTTCTACAAGCACGAGAGTTGTGGGCAGTGCACACCCTGCAGGGAAGGGACTGGATGATCATGGAAAGATTGAAAGTCGGGAATGCAAAGTTGGAAGAGATTGACATGCTTCAGGAGGTGACCAAGCAGATTGAAGGGCACACAATTTGTGCTTTGGGTGATGCAGCTACTTGGCCTGTGCAGGGTCTTATACGACACTTTAGGCCAGAGCTCGAGAGAAGGATTAGAGAGCGTGCCGAAAGGGAGTTGCTGGGGGCTTCTGCTTAGTTTCTGCCCAGGTTGCTTCTGTCATCTTTTGACTTTCAATTTTTTGGTGCAGTTTTTTTTTCCTTCCAAAATATGTAAGCTTGCATTATTTGGTATTTATAATAATCAATTTCCATTTTGTCACGTGAAGTTTTTTTTTCTATGGAATTCTGTATTTGATTGTCCAATTTCTTTTCGGTCATCCACATTATGCATGCTTTCACAACACATTGTACCCTCTGATACGTATGTGAATTGTTTCATGACAATTAACCTATTTCCTTTAGTGTCCTCGAGGAATTCATTGTAATTTTCCCTTCATATCAGCTGGTAGTGTCAACCGGTCCAGTAGTTGCCTGGTTACTTAGAAATGGTCGAAAGAACTTTACATAGTTGCTTTATTAATTAATATCTGGTTTCCTGGTCTCAAGATGATTTTGTTGAAATAATGTGAAAGAAACGGCAAAGGAGGCATAAGATATAATACGCAAATCAAGTTTAGTCATTTTCAAGTGGAACATGGCATATAGGACACAAGTTTATTGAGGCAGTGCATGCTTAACATTTAGTTCCCTCTTTTTAAGCCATGGAAATTAGTAGGATGGTATATATTATCACCATGTTTCTTTATCCGT